AAGTTAGTTAAGTGTAAAGTAAGTACGTTTTAGTTTAGTTACTCTAGTCGTACTACGTCCTCGTCGTGTAGTTCTTCTCTCTCTCTCTCTCTCTCTCTCTCTCTCTCTCTCTCCCCCTTCCTCTCCCCCCTTGTACTCCATAATATAAATATGTATGAAAATGTGGGTCTAACTAGTTTGGCACGTGTTAATGCCTTCACATGTGTGGGACAAGAACCTTGGGAAATCATGTCCAGTCTTATGAAATGTCCTGGTTTGATGGCTCAATTTTTTTTTCTTTTTTCTGGGTTTATTGGGATGAAATTCTCTGTTGAATCTCCTCTCTCGAGGAGAAGTATGGAGGTCTAAATAGCAAGTAGTTTGCTGCTATGTAAAAACTATAAAGCAAGATGCTGAAATTGGTAACAGAGAGTTGAGTTTCTCAACAGGGTTTCACTCTTCACTCCGCATATATATGGTGTTGAAAACAGTTATAAAATGACAAATCTAGCCTCTAACATTGTTCAACAGCTTGGTGATATAAAAGGGTGCAAATTAATACAAATGATACATAAATAAAAATAAAATGTTATTGTGACTATTGCTGGCAATTAAAGGAAAAAAAGGAAAAGAGAGAAAAAAAACTGTTGCAGAGTTCAATTAAATTTAAAGTCTGATGGAAATCGAAATATAATTAGATGGACCTTTGGTGGTTGTTTATCATTATCGATCCCTTCTTTATTGATTGCTCTGAACGTTTCACAAAAATTTCAAGGAGCTGTAATTTTTGTTTGTTCATCTAGCTTTAAATATTGCAGTTCAATTATTCTATTCAACTGTTTTAATGCTTCATCGAGGATTTGGCTGCAGATAACGTTTCATGCTTTTGAATTAAAAAAAAAAAAAATGCCTTAATGCAAAAAGGAAATTAGAAAATATTTTAAGAAGTTTCAGGAATATCAGTAAAGAGATGAAAAAGCAAAAATAAGAAACTGGGTGTAATTGGTACAGATCCGATGGTGATCGTGTTTTGTGTCTGAAATAATAAATTTATAGAGCATCTAAGTTAATAATAAATTTATAGAGAATTTAAGTTTTAAGAAAAATTGCCCGTACTGACAGCTTTCAGTGCATTGGGCTCTTGGTTTAATACTAATATTGAGCAAACCACATCCTTTATTTCTTGAAAGTTCTGCATGAATTTGGTTGTGGTCAGTCGCACTTTTTGTCAGGTACCCTGTGACTAGAGTTTACCTGTTGTATATATCTGGGTAGTCTTTTTCTGAATGTTTAGTCTTTTTGGTCTTGAATTGTAGGGTTATCTTTGTGATTCCAATGAAAATTTGTCCACTGCTTCCATTTGTTTTTATCATTCCTGTCTTAAATGCTTCTATCTGTACTGCAAAAACTTAAATCTTCCTCGAAACTGATTTCGCTTTTGTCATATGAGTCTATACTGTCTTGCTTTTGTATAGATACTCATTATTTCTATGAGTGTGCATAGATAGCTTGGTCTAGATGGCTCTTTCTCTATTTTATTTTACATTTCTTCAGGCCACTTTTGGCAAAAGGGAGCCCTATTTGTTTGGACGTCTACTCCTAGTACATTCAGTTGAAAATTTATAAGAGTTTCAGCCAGAGTTTTAAAACTCGGATTGGCCCTGGAGCCGTGCAAATCCAGGGAAGCATGTTGGACATGGTTCACGTTGGCCTCGGTCGGGTCTTCACAAAAAATAACAGGAAATTCTTGTGAACTGGAGGGACTCAGCCAGTTACCAAGGTTTTACACTTGGAGGGGACAAGGTGCTGGGTCCTAGTGACACGCCGATGCCGAGTTGGACACTCCGCGAGTTTTGAAAACACTAAACTTTCTGCATTTCACTATAAAGAAGCATCTGATTTATGCTCCAGCTATCTTATTTCTCAGGAATTGCTGGAAAATTTGGGCTAACTTTGGTTTGAGATGTGTATTTTCTGCCTCAATAAAACATTTGTAAGGATGTTAAAAAAATCTGATGGGAGAAAACTGGTTCTTTTGAGAATCACTGCATTGTGAAGTTGAACTATTAGTGCAGTTTAGTACTGCATATGTTGGAAATCCTGCTGATATTAGCAGATAACATGCATTTTAATTCTTGGTGTGTGTTCATGTGTGTGTGTGTGTGTGTGTGTGTGAGAGAGAGAGAGAGAGAGAGAGAGAGAGAGCTAGTTGTTCTACGCCGTCGTTAGAAGTAGTACTAAACGAAAAAAGAAATCGACTAGAAGTAGTTAGCTAGACTAATTCGTGGACCAG